GTCTGAAATTAAAATAAAAAATTTAATATTCGGACACTTTAAATTGCGTGTCGGACACGTGTCCGGAGCGTGTCCGGACGTATCCGTGTCCGACAGAGACACTCCTCCTTTTTTGTCGTGTCCGTGTTTTATAGATCCAACATCATATTGTATGATCACTATTTTCCTTCATATGTAATAAGTATACAACTAAAGGAAACCAATTGGTAACTTGAGAAATCTTTTGATAAGAAACTAAAAACTTTCCACCTAAGAAGCACATACATAGACATGATATGACATGTACATTTTAATATCCATTAATACGTTCTCTTCTTTTAAATATATATATCCATCAATTTTTTAGACCCCCAAAAAAATTAACACTCTAATTCAAGTGTCAGAATGGTTTATGCGTGTTGGACACAAGAAGTTACTTAACCTTAAGTTTCATGCTTCCCAACTTTTCATTAAAAATGTGAGAAGTGCATAGCATGGGGACCTAAAAACCCGCTAACGAGCAAAATGGGAGGGTTAAAAGAGAAATAAAAATACTCCAGTTGGTGTCAGTAAGACAAAGGCAGTAATTACAGAAGTTTGTAAGAGTACAGCAGTTTTATTCAGAAAAAAAGAAAAGGGCTTCCAGGATCCACTCTAATGCATTCAGTTTGTGCTTTATGTTATTCGGCCAATGAGGTCCAATCTCTCATATTCTTCATATGTCCTCTTATAGGGGCTTGTTTTCCTCCCAAGATTCCATCTGATATGGGTCAATGCAGTCAAAGGAATCATTTTAGATTTACGGTTTGAGTGCAATAGAAGAATTTTTGAGATCTCAAGATGTTGGGTAGAATGGTTTGATTTGGTTAAGGTTTTGTTTTTTTTTTTTAAGAAAAGAACTTTTCATTAAGACGAATGAAACTAGAAGCATATACAAAGGGCATACAAAAATAAAGCCCAGGAGGAGGAGCCCTAACTAAAGGAAGGGCTTCCAATATTTGGTTAGATTAAAGCCTTCCAGATAGTGTTCACTCTCTAGTTTGTTTGCTATCTACAATGATATTTGTATTAAATAATCCTAGGAATATTTTTGTTCATTTTCATTTATCAATAAAAAGATATGTATTTTGTTTTAAAAAAAAGGTAGAAAGTGTAAACCAAACCGCAGCCAAAAATAAGCTAGATCCAAGACTTCCTCCAAACTTATAAGTCTGTCTTCCAACTAAGTCTGCCATAAAAGGGCTTTTAAACTATTTGACCACAAAACCTTGCATGTCCTTGCACAAATTGCTCCAGCCTCTTGGATCTTCCGTATGATCCACCTTCTGTGTGACCATAATTTGAAAAGGAACAGGAAGACTTTGTGGATAAACGCAGTAAAATCACTCCTATGGAATATTATTCAGTGGCAAGAAAAAATAATGGAAAGGAAGCTAACATTGTGAAATTTCAGACTTCTTCATGATGTTCTCTCCCTACTTACATTTTAATAATTCTATTAATGGGATGAACCCAGTTTGGCTTTTTCATTTTGTGTAAACCCCAGTATACTTTCCGTGTAAAAAGTATACCGATGTTGAGAGTGAATCAACCCATGAGGAGGGCTAAAGGATTACAAATAGGACTTCCAATTAGTCAAAAATCAAAAGGAGGAAAGGAAATGAACTGTAAGTCTGTGACTAAATAATTCAGTATTATAAAAAGCCGCAATGATGAAACCAGGAAACTCACGTAGTACGTCCAGTAGGGGATCGAGGAATCCCTTGTAGATGTCGAAGAAATATAGCAAGCATTGCATGGAAAGTTGGTCTTTTCAATGGCTTGTACTGTAGGCACTCGCCAATCATCTTCCATAATTCTCTAGGGATACCAACGCCTACGATACTTGCATACTGTGGAGGTAGCCTGCCTTCTTTAACAACAGCGCGATAAATTTCTTCTGCACTAAGACCAGCCCACCTGGAGAACCTTTCTTCCATAAGTAAAGAATACAACTGACCACAAAATATATAAGAACTAAAATGTAAAAAGCAACATACGGAGTGGAACCAGTGCACATTTCAACAAGGGCACAACCAAAGCTCCACGCATCAGACTGAGAGGATATGCCAATTCCATCGTCTCTAAACAAATGTAATGGTCTCTTTAAAGGCTCCCACGCCTCTGGAGATCTATAATGCGGACTCAGAAACAGACACTCCAAACACCAATGCTGTTTTGATGACTCCTGTTCTGGAACAGTGCCTGCTCTATGACAAGGTTTCTTCAAAATCAATGGAAGCCCATAATCGGAAACCACAGCATGTCCATTTGCATCCAAGAGAAAATTGGATGGTTTCAAATTCATACACAGAACATCAGCTGCATGGAGTTCAACCACTGCACGCACAATGTCTGCTCCAAATCTGCATTCATAAACACATATTACAAACGGATAGAATATCAACAAAAAGAAAAGAGTTTCTAGAATAATCACACATAAAGAAGTTAATATCAAAATGTTATCATTGTTATGAAAGTAGGTAGTGGGTCCAATTGGACTCCCTCCTTATATCCCAATTAAAGAAAGAAACTAAAACTCGTCAAACAACAATAGGATTTATGTCGGATGCTAGGAGGATGAGGAATAACAAAATCTAAAAAAGATAGGGCATCCACGTGTTCATACAAACCTTAGGCACTCCAAATATTGCTGGAAAGACATCCACAAAAATGAAAGACCTCATGGTCCTAAAGTGATTTTGGGGCCTGGGGCATTGCCAATGGTGAAAACATCATATTCTTGGAGGACAAGTAGCCGTGCAATGAACCTTTCTATTTCAGATTTCCTAGACTATATGTGGTCTCCAAAAGTAGCGATCCTCACAATGATAAAATTTGAAATTCTGACCACACTTTTTGGGATGTCCAATACAAAAGAAAGCTTACTGATTTGGAAACTTTGATCCAACATCCCTTAAGACAGGTGGCTCTAGGCTAGCAGCTCTGCCAGTACCTTTAGTTCCAAATCAACATTGAAAGAGCTCTACAGTGACCTCAATGCCCTTGACTGCGATCTTTCTATGTGGATTTGGAAGGAATCTTATCCGAAAAATGAAAAAAAATCATTTGGGAACTTCTTATGCTAACCATCCACACCAGTAATAAGATTCAAAGAAGGAATTAGAAGTTGTTCATTTCCCGACCAATTTATCGTGTGCAAAGATGACGACAAAACCCAAGAGTCAAGACCACTTGTTTATCACTGCCCAACGGCCTCTTGGCTATGGAAAAACATGTTGGGATCCTTTAATTGGTCACTGCTTTCCCCAGCAACACCAATGGTCTTCTTCTTAGTTCCTTTAGGAGGGTTCCTTATAAGGCTAAGGCTAAAATGTAGTGGCTAATTTCTTCATAACGCTTTTATGAACCTTGTGGCTAGAACGAAACATCAGAGTTTTATTGGAAAAAAGAAAAGGAGATTTTTATCTACTTGGTGGGATTGTATTGTTTCCGTAGCTTTGTCTATGTCCAAATTGTCCAAGCTATTTTATAAGTATGACCTATCTTCTCTATGAGCTAATTGGACCTTTTTTTCTTTTTCTTTATTGTAACTTTCTTAGCCTGGGTTGTGCCTTTCCTCCCTTTTTCGTTCCCAGAGAAACCCTGTCTAATGGGACAGGTCAAGTGTGGCCTATCCTTCTAGCTGAATTCGTTCCCAGAGAACCTAAATCTTGTGACCTAGCCACTGATCAAGTCTAAGAAGCTTTGTATATAGAACGTTGCAGATTTGTGCTTCTAATGAATATATAACTTGCTGATTCCTCTAGCGAAAATCCAGAACAACGAGTTAAGTGCCAAATTCACAAGTTCGGGAGGGATAACAGTTGCGACAGTACAAAACTCTTGGTTTGGCTCTGGCTTCCATCAAGCTTTCAGCTGGTTATGATTTCTCTTCGTAACAGAGGTGAATCTGAATATTAAACCCATGCTTTCACGAAGCTGAATTGAATTATTAAGTAGAGGCCCAGGAGTAAAAATGTCCATCAAAGTGAAAGCGAAACTCAAACGCGAAAAAGGAAAAAAGACGGAGAAAAAGGTCACCTCAGAATTTGCTCGAGAGTGAGGCGGCTCCGCT